ACTTTCAATCCTCCTGCCTCAGCCTTTCAAGTACCTGGGATTACAAGGGTGCACCATCCATCATGCTTGGCTACAGGCCATGGGTGTCATCCCCAGCACCACACAAAAATTAAAAATAGAGTAATGCCTCGGTTCACAAACACTTCTGTGTGCAAACAATTTGGTTCACAAACAGAAGCATCCAGCAAAATTTTGCGTCTCTTCACGAACTCCACATCAGGTGCTGAACACGACCATGGCCATCTTGCCAGAACTGTGGAACAAATTAAATTCATGAATCGAGGCATCACTGCATATAACATATTAGGTAAGCCGGGCATGGTAGCACATGCCTGTGATCTCAGCACTTGGGAGGCTGAGGAAGAAGTACTGCCAGAGTTCAAGGCCACCCTGGGCTGCATTGCAAGACCCTGTCTCAAAAAACCCACTCCCAAACCAAAACAAAACCCCAACATATTAGGTGATAACTGCCCCAGCCAAAACTTAAGGAGTAAAGAGTGATGAGGGACAGGGGCTACAATTTTTTTTTTTTTGAGGCAGGATCTTGCTATGTAGTTCAGGCTGGCCTTGAACTGACTATGTAGCCCAGGTTGGCCTTAAATTCACTGCAATCCTCCTACCTCAGCCCCTCCTGCTTCGCCTCTTGAGTGCTGAGATTACCGGCATGTACTACTACCAGGCCCGGCAGGGAATGCAATATTAAAAGTATTCAGGAAGGCCTCCCTGAAGACAGTGGAACCACAAGGTAAAGGAAGTGGGGGTGTGAGTCACTGGAGGCCTTGGGGAAGAACACTCTAGGCCGAAGCCAAGAAGGGAGGGAGTGGGTAGATGAGGTCAGGGAGCAAGATGGGTGGATTCCATGGGTTTTGTAGGCCACTGTCAACCTTTGGCTTTTACTTTGAATGAGTGGGAATGTAGGGACTGCATGATCCCATTTCTGTGTGACAGGAGTTACTTGTTATAGTGAGGGCACACGGGGGCGGGGGCAGAGCAGGGAGACCAGCAAGGAGGTGACTGTAAGAGTCAGGCAAGAGATGCCAGTGCCTCTGTTCCAAGTGGCAGTGGTGCAGGTGGCAGATACAGCCAGGTCCTGGAGATTTTTTGAAGCTGGAACCAAGAGGATCTGAGGAATGGATTGGATGTGGGCAGGTGTGTGGCGGGGGGGGCGGGGGGGGGAGTAAAGAAAACAGATTAATCATGATTCTAAGGTTTTTGGCTTAGAAAAGACAGTAAAGATCACAACTGGAGTACATTTTTGGGGAAGAGCATGGGTTTGTTCTGGGAAGGTCAGGTTTAAGGTTTTTGTTAAACACTGGAGACATGGAGAAGAGGCCAGGCCACTGGATTTGGGGGAGACAGGGCATCCCCGGGACAGTGAGCTGGGAAACTAGAGTGCAGGGTGTCAGCCTGGTGGTCAGGGAAGACAGAACAAGTGACACCCCCTTGCTCCAGCATCTGTTCAGTGTAGGTCAGGGCCATGCTGCCCCTAGCAGCTCTGGTCACAACCTCCTGTGACTTTGTGAGGTCTGCCCATTTGGACACCCACAGCTTTGGATCAAGAGAAAACTGAGTTCCTCAGGCCAAGTCTGTCCACTTTGGCAGAGTTTTATTGGTACACAGCTGTGCCAACCAGACTAACACTGCCTTTACGATGCAGCAGCCAGAGACCTCACGGCTGCTGACTCAGTTACCTTCTCATTGCTGAGACACAATACCCAACACCCACATATTAGAGAAGAGGTTTATTTTGGCTCACAGTTTGTAGAGGTTTCAGTCCATAGTTAGCTGAGTCCGAGGCAGGTCAGCATAGCAGAGGAGAAATAGTCCATGGCAGGACAGCAGGAAGCAGACACATCAAGGGAGGAGGGAGGGAGATCCTTCCAGGCCACACCCCCCAGTCACCCACCTCCTCCAACCAGGCTTTACCTCCCAACCTCACACTTAGGTGTAAACTCATCAGAAGACTAAGCTACAGAGAGTATCACGTCCCAGGGATCCACTCACCTACCAAAAGCCCCACCTAGGAAACCATGAGGCTTTGAAGGGACATCCAACCATAACAAACCACAAAGTCTAAAATCTTCCAGTTGGCCCCTTAAAGGAAGTCTGCTCCCCATTTCATTACAACAAAAGCTGTTGTTACAGGAACAAGCAAGATATTTAAATGAGTCCCATTTATAGGAATATATACATTGGGGTGAGTCCTAATTGTTTTTGCTGTTACCAGAATGTTAAAATAAACATTCTTAACCATGTCTCCTTGTGCTCCTATGCAGGTTCTTCTATTTTTTCCATTTTCTCCTAAAATTGGTACGGTACTAGGTATGGCAGATTTTACTGGTTACCAATCTGTTTGCGATTCACTTGGATTTTTCTGGCTGTGATGATTGCTGGTACTTGACTACCACACAACAATGAATTTTGTTCAGTGACCTTTAAAGGGAATCAACCTGTTTTACCATATATTGGTGGTGTTCTGCCATTAAGTGTAACATTTCATGCTTGGGTTTTAAATTTTGGTAGAACTTACCTAGAAAACCATTCAGATTAGCTGGTTTTGGGGGGGAGTAGTTTTAAGTTTTCCTAATGGGTAGGTACAGGGCTATTCAGTTTGCCTGTTTTCATTGTTTTGTTTTGGTACCAGGGATTGAACTCAGGCCCTTGCGCTTGCAAGGTAGGTGGGGGAACCACTGACCTAAAACCCCAGCCCCACTTTTTTGTTTTATTGAGACAAGCTCTCGCTATGTAGGCCAGGCTGGCCTTGAACTCCTGGTGATCCTCCTGCTTCAGGCTCCCAAGTGCTGGGATAACAGGCGTGTGCCATCACGCCTGGCCTGTTTGTCTACTTTTAAATAGTTTTGCTAGAAAATTATCCATTTCATCTACATTTAAAATTTATTGGCATAAAGCTTATAACACTCTTATTTTGATTATTTATGCTGCACCTGTGGTTATGTCCCTTTTGTAGTTTATGGTACTAATTCCTAGTTGTATTTTGTGATATTAGTGTTTCTGTGTTTTATTTAATCAATTTCTGCTCTTATTATCTTCCATTTTCTTTGGGTTTACACATTTACTCTTTAAATTTGACACTATGCTCATGTTTTCTTCTTATAAAACAAGGCTATAGATATCCTTCTAAACACTGCTTTGATTGTCCCCCTCCAAGTTTTGTTCTAAATATTTTTCATTTTTATATGATTTCCATCTTGAGTTATTTAGAAAAAGGTTTAAATTTCCAAACATGAAAATGACTGTGGTCTGTTTCTTTTGAGATTTGTTTTGGGGTGTAGTAGTTGGATCACTTTTTGTAAATATTCCTCATGTGTTTGAAATCATTGTGTTGGGTTCAGGGTTCTATAAAGGTCTAATGTTCAGGATTATTAATTCTATTAAGATCTTCTATATCTTTTTGGGGGGCTGCTTATTCTATAAATTATTATTTTTTTTTTGGTACTGGGGATCAAACTAGGGTCCTTGCGCTTTTGAGGCAGGCAGCGGAACCACTGAGCTAAATCCCCGGCCCTATTCTATAAATTATTGAAAGAGGTCTTAAATCTCTCACTGTGATGGACTTGGGAAATTTTTCTTGTATTATTATTTTGCTGTACATTTTTTTTTTTTAGACAGGCTTCCCACAATGAAGTCCAGGGTGGTCTTGAACTCACTATATATTTTAGGCTAGCCTCAAACCCCAGTGATCCTTCTGCCTCAGGCCCCCCCGCCCCCCAGGTGCTGGGATTACAAGTGTGCACCACCATGCCTGGCATTTTTCAGCTTCTTTACAAAAAAAAAGAAAAGAAAGAAACCTGGAACATACAGGTCTAGAATTGCTCTTTTCATAGATAGTTATTCCTTTCATCATTTTGTAGTGATTCTTTTGGTCCCTGATAACGAATGTCCTTTGCCTTAAAACCTATTATGTTGGATTTTTCTACAATTACATTTTTTTGTTTTTCTCTGAATACATTTTTCCATCTTTTTTACTTTTAGTGCCCATAGGTTTTGGAACCCCTCTTCTTCCCTCATCCCCACCTCCCCAGCCAGGGCTGGGGATTAAATCCAGGGCCTCATGCATGCTAGGGAAGAGCTCTGCCACTGAGCCTTCATTCTGAGACAGGGTGCTAAATTGCCCAGGCTGCACTCAAATTTGAGATCCTCTTGCCTCAGCCTCCCAAGTAGCCAGGATTACAGTCTATGCTACCATGTCTAACTTGGATGTCCTGTTGTAAACGCCACAAATCTAAATTTTATTTTACTGGCTAATCTGTTAATCCGGTTTTTCCTTTTGTTATTGTTTTTTGAGACAGGATCTCACTATGCAGCCCAGGCTGGCGTTGAACTCCTGGTGATTCTCCTGCCTCAGTCTCTTAAGTGCTGGGATTACAGGCCTGGGCCTCCAAGCTCAGCTTTTTTGGTAGCTTTAAAATCTTGTCTCTGGAGTTCTCCAAATGCATTACGAAATGTGTGGATGTTGATTTTATCTACCCTGCTTCGCATCTTTTGTGAAGATTCTGGTCTTAAATCAGCTTTGAGCATCCTCTGGGAACTGCCCTCCACATCCTCTCCTGAACCCTGGCCGAGTTCTCACTGGCTGTTCTGTCACTTGTGCACTGCCCACCACCCAAAGGTTTCTGCTTAACTGCTTCTGATTTATCCATAGATTCAGTGATTTTCTCTTCTGCTGTGTCTAACCCGTTTTCTTACCTCATCTTCTGCGACCTGGATCTGTCTCTACACTAGAATTCTTTCAATGTCTGGGGCTCCCTTCTTGTGAAGGCCTGCGGCCGGCGCAAGGCGCAGGGAACGTACAGGCTCTGAGCGAGCCGTCCAAGGACATGCTGGGGAGGGAGGTTCGCTCCGCCGTGAGGTTCACCACCATCCGGATCTTGGGCTAGGCAAAGGTGCAGGCCGTGACGTCAAAGGGCTGTGACGCACTCCGAAGCCCCACCCCGTCGCGTCTCACGCCGGGAATCCAGACTCTGCGCCATGACGTCACGAGTCCAGGCGGGCGGGTTTTGCGTCGGCCCAATGGGAACGACGCGCAGACCTCCCCTTTAAGGAATGTTGTGACCTGACGTCACCCGGGCGAGTTACCTCCCGCCGCCGCCGCCGCCGCCGCCGCCGCCGCCGGCTTCAGCGCAAGCCCCGCAGCCCTTGAGCGCGAGCCCCGGAGCCCCCGGAGCCCCGACCCACAGCCACATCCCAAGCCGCACGCCTCTGAGCCTCGGCAGCGCGCCCCGCCGGGCCCGCGCGATGCCCTCGGACCGGCCTTTCAAGCAGCGGCGGAGCTTCGGTGAGGCCCTGCGGGCGACCCGCGATGGGGAGCGGGGGGTCCGACCGATCCCGAGTCCCGCAGGTGACGTCAGCTCCGTGACGTCAGGCTCGGTCGACCCGGGGGTGGGAGACCCCGTGTCCTTGAGGGGCCCGGTCGGCCTCCCCACCGTGTTCCTTGCCAGGGGCTGAGAGGCCGGTGGCCCCAGGGGCGGGAGGGGCGGGGCAGGCCCGGAGCCGCCCCTCGGGAACCGGCGGGGCGGAGCCGCGGGGAGGGCCTCGCCCCGGTGGGCCTCACGCAGACCGCCCTCTGCAGCCGACCGCAGTAAGGAGGTGCAGCAGATCCGGGACCAGCACCCCAGCAAGATCCCGGTGAGTCCTGCACCCCGGCCCCGCCCAGGCTCCCGTCCAGCCTGCGCCCGGGGCTCACGGTCTCCCACCCGCCCCACTCCCAGGTGATCATAGAACGCTACAAGGGTGAGAAGCAGCTCCCTGTCCTAGACAAGACCAAGTTCCTAGTCCCCGACCATGTCAACATGAGCGAGTTGGTCAAGATCATTCGGTGCGTAGGCAGCAGCCGGAGGGACTGGGTGGGGCACCGGGTCTCCACTGAGAAGGGGTGGGATGTGGTCAGGGGCATGGAAACTGGTGCTGGACCCATTTTTGGAGGCTGGGAAAGGTCAGAGTAGGGGATGGAGTCAATTTCGGGTCAGAGGTTAGAGCTGCTAGGGGAAGTTGGAATGAGTGGGAAGCAAGGTTGGACTCCTCAGCCTACCCTCCTACCCCCTCAGGCGCCGCCTGCAGCTGAACCCCACGCAGGCCTTCTTCCTGCTGGTGAACCAGCACAGCATGGTGAGCGTGTCCACGCCCATCGCAGACATTTATGAGCAGGAGAAAGATGAGGATGGCTTCCTGTACATGGTCTACGCCTCCCAGGAGACCTTCGGCTTCTGAGCCAGCAGTAGGGGGGGTTGGCCTGGGGGTGGGGGGCCGGGTCGGGCTCTGCCCAGGTAGCTCCTGGCTCCTGAACTGAGCTGCCTTGCCCCTGGTGGGCTGGGCAGGGATGTGGCCTCTAGTTAGCTGGCACCAACCAGCCTACTCTGCCCCAGGGTGGGTCCTGGACCAGTTATGTTAGAGTTGCCCCACTGGGTGCTGGCTGGGTTGTGGGAGGGTGCGGAGCAGCCCCCGGCACCCCTGCTGTGTGGTTTGTCTTTTTTAGGCCCTTGCCTGTCTGCCCACCTGCCCCTCACCCACCTGAGGCTCTCCCCCCTGCCTGGACCTGCCTACCCCTGAAAGACTGGCCCTGGGCTCCCCCCATAGCCACATGGGGCTCCTTCCATCACCACATGGTATACGGATCTGTGGTCATTGTCCCTCTGCAGAATAAAGATTGCTTAGGCCTGCCTGGCCCTTTGCCTCCAGTTGTTTGTTTGGGTGTAGGGAGAATGTATCCCCATACACCAGTCTCAGCCCACCACCATAGGCCTGTGCTTGTGGATTTCTGGCTCCCCGTGGAAATCCACACATCTGTGTGTACCCTGGCCATGCTACAGGCCGAGCCCACTTCCTCCAGGCATGCTATGTGGACATGGTCCCAGAGTAGCTGTTTCATAACAAAAACATTTATTTGGTAACCACGACCTGTCAAACCCTGCTCACCTGCTGCTTCCCCCTTCCTGCCTGGCAAAGGGTTCCTTGGTATACAGAGCCACAAAGGAGGGTCCAGGTGGTGTGTCCCCAGCTGTTCACCCACAGGCCTTGCTGTCAGCCATGGGTCCCCTTTGGTGCCAGAGATTTGTGACTGTGGACTCAAATTTCTTCTTCTCAAGGACTTGCCTCCTGGCAACTCTAGATGGGGGGGCCTTGTCAAGCTTCTGGCCCTTGCCCACTCTGAGATCTGAGCAGCACTGTGCCAAGCCAGGCCTACTTAAGCACAAGCATGGCCTCTGTACCATCTTTGGCAGTCAAGTAGAGACCGTGTGAGAGGTAGTACTCCCGCCGCAGGAAGGCATAGAAGTAATCAGAGATGAGCAGGATCTGGGGGTGGAGAGAAAGACGGTGTGAAGATGCTGTGGGGCACCTCCCTGGAGCAAGGCCCCTGCAGGGGAGCCCCAACCTGGCATCTCCCATCAGAGTCCCAGCCTATCCAGGACCAAGAAGCAAGGCCCTGCCCAGGGATACCATATTCCATCTCTTATTTTTCCACCCAGCCTACACCTGGTGCAATATAACCACTGGCCTGTGCACCTCCCTCTCAGTGTCAGTAAGGATTTCTACACAGCCAGGTCCTCACCAAATGCCTTATTTTCCCTGGTCAAACTGGCCTTTCCTGCCTCGTACCTGCACCTCCACCTTCCATCCAGAAGCCCAAGCCACAGTTTCACCTGACACTTCTCCCATACACTTCTACCATACACTAAGACACCAAAGGCCCATCAGTTGTACCTCCTATACTTCCAAACTCACCTTTCCTATACTCCACATGCTGGACAAAGCCACTGTCATCTAAGAATCAGCAAAGCCTTGTCTTGGGCTCTCTTTTCTCAAACCTACTTTTCCACTGTGTTCACTGGCAGCCAGAGGGAGTTGTGCAAAACACAAATCTTACCATGATTCCCTCAAAGGCTTCCCTAGCTCCTTGGTGAAGATCAGACTAAGTGGGCTTTTGGGCCTTGTACTTGGTCCCTGCCCACAAATATGCACCATCCTCTCCTTGAGCCATCTCACTCCACTGCAGGGTAGTTGCTATTTCCTCTCCCTGGAATGTTCTCTCCTCTTTCACCTAGTGAATAGCTGTTTGCCCTTCGGGATTTGAGAAGGATCACCTCCTACCCCAGATTAGGTCCTGGACCCATTAACCTCTGTTTATTGGCACAAACTCATCCAAAGTGTAATTTTACAGTCAGTTGTGTGACTGCCTGATGGCCATGCTTCCAGCATTGGCCGGAGAGCTCCATCAGGATGGGGTTGTGGTTCTGCTACTATAGTATCTCTGCCCAGCTCAGTCTATCCCCTTTTAGGCCACAAAATCAAAAGGGAGAAAGAAGCTCAGCCCATGTTGTCCTCATGGAGGTCCAGAGAAGGAACGGATTTGCCAAGCTCCCTGTACATTAGACCCTGAAGGCTTGCAGTCCCATCTGGCCCAAGCTGCCCAAGACCTTGGTGCCTGAACCAGGAAGGCCAGGGCTCAGTCAACTGGGGACCTCTCAGAGTATCAGCACCAACCACCTCTTGGCAGAGATGGGGAGACTGAGGCCTACAGCAGGGGAGAAACTTGGCCAGGGTCTTGGTGCAAATGAAAGGTTGAGCTGAGCCTGGGGTCTAGACCTCCAGAGCCCTTTTTTTATTTTGCTACCGGGGATCAAACTTGGGTCCTTGAGCTTGCTAGGCAGGCGGCGAAACCACTGAGCTAAATCCCCTGCCCCAGAGCCCTATCCTAATGCCAGACCAGCTAAGGAGGGTCAGAGCAGGTAATAGCATTGAGGGTTTTGGGACACATACCTGCCATCTGTCACCACTGAAGCTTCTGTAGAAGACTGACTGATCCATTTTAGGGAATCTGAAACACTTGGCCTAAGGCCGGACTGTTGGTCATGGACGCTGGAAGGCAACGTGCCTGGGGGGCCCAGGGCTCTGAGTGCCTGCTGACAGGGCAGGGGCAGCAGTGACCACAGCAAAGGCTGACCTTACACCCTGGGCTACCATTTCTCACCCAGGCCCCAAGATGCCCTATCTGGGAAAGAGAAACCTGATCCAAACTAGGTTACATGAGGGGCAGATGCAAAGTCACAACTCATAACCAAACAAAATGAGACAACTCAGTGTCACACAACAATATGCTGGATAGGTCAAAGGAAATCGACCTATTAGGTTATTAGGCTGAATCATATGAAATTGCTATTTTTGCAGATTAAAAATGTTTGAATAGGGGCCAGGGATTTAGCTCAGTGGTTTCAGCTGCGCAAGCGCAAGGACCTGAGTACGATCCCTGGTACCTAAAAAAAAAAAAGTTTGAATATTGACAATTTCATATCCTCCAAGCAAATAGAAAAGGGAGTGGGGGCTAGGCATGGTGGTGCATGCCTGTAATCCTAGCACTCAAGAAGCTGAGGCAGGAGGATTGCTGCAAGTTCAAGGCCAGCCTGGGTTACATAGTGAGTTCAAGGCCAGCCTAAACTACATGCTGAGACTCCTCAAAAAAACAACAACAAAAAAAAACGGGTGTGGGGGTAAGAAATACAAATAATATGGGCGGGGAATTAGCTCAGTGGTTCCACCGCCTGCCTTGAAAGCACAAGGTCCCAAATTCAATCCCCTGTACCAAAAAAAATTAATAATAATAATAGAGTAAGAATATTATTCAGTAGTACCAGAGGAAATAACTAAGATCTTTGAGAGCTATTCTTTTTCCTATAAGCCTTAACTTTATAAAGTATGTATTACCTTGATAAAAACAAAAATGCAATTTAAAACAATAGGCTAATAAGTGAATCAACATATAAATATGGGAGATTTTGCTTCAGAAGAACTCCAAACTGTTTGTGGGCGTGCCCCTTCAGGGGGTGGAACTTAGTTCTTGCCCACTCCCCTGCTCCCAGGGTGGGTCAGACTTGGGGACTCACTTCCTGCTTGGGTGCAGAGAAAGGGAAGAGAGTAATTTTGCAGTGGAGAAACTTGGCGAACCAGGAGCTGAGGGTAAATATCACACTGCTAGTAGCATCCCAACACAATGTGATGAGAAGGGCGCCTTGCCTGGGGATTCTTTCCAAAAGCCCTAAGCATCAGACAAACATAATAACTTGGGGTACATTCACCATGATCCCTGCCCAGTGAACCTCAAGACTGTCACAGTCGTGAAAAATAAGGATCAGAGCAGAGAACCCTGGGGAGACAAGCAAGGCACATGTGCAGAACAGCCCCCTGGGTCGAGTCCTGGGGGAGAGGAAGGCATGATTAGAAAAGCATGAAATCCCGATTGGCCTTTAGCTGAAAGCAATGCCCCAGAACAGCTTCTCAGTTTCACAAACATGCTGTGCAATTTTAGATTTTAACACAGGCCAGGCACAGTGGTGCATGCCTATAACCCCAGCACTCTGGGAGGTTGAGGTAGGAGGATCACAAATTTCAGGCCAGCCTGGGCAATCTGTTGACTTCACAAGACCCTGTCTCAAAAACAGAAAAATTCTTTTAAAAAAAGAGCTGAGTAGCTCAGTGATAAGACCCTAAATATATATGTGAAGGAAGGCAGAAGGCAGACATATGAAAATAGGTATGGGACCTCTACTATCTCTGCAACTATTCTATGACTAAAATAACTTTAAAATACAAAGTTTATCAGGCCAGGGATTTAGCTCAGTGGTGCCACTGCCTGCCTCGCAAGTGCAAGGTCCTGAGTTTGATCCCTGGTAGCCCCCCCAAAAAAAGTTTATTGAAAGTGAACTATTATATGCAATAACACAGATGAACCTCAAAAACATTCTGGTGAATGCCAGGCAGGGTGGCACATGCCTGAAATCCTAGCATTCAGGAGGCTGAGGCAGGAGGATCGCTGCGTGTTCAAGGCCAGCCTGGGCTGCATAGTGAAGGCAAGGCCAGCCTGAACTACAGAGGGAGATCCTGACTCAAAAAACAAAACAAAATAAAACAACATTCTGTGAGTGAAAGACAGCTTTGACAAATGCAAGGTAAAATTTGTATTTTTCACTGTGTGTCAGTTTTACCTAAGCAAAATGGAAATAAATATCAAACTCCAGTTTTTGAAATAAATTTTAAAAAGATGGATTGAGGTTTGGAGCTGTGATTGAGCAAGCACAGCAGAGTGTTGATGGTGGATCCGGTAGCGAGTGTATGGGTGCTCAAAGTGTGAAGATCTACGTGATAAAGGGGCTCGTGGGAAAGGGCCCCGCTCACTGGGGCATACAGTTCTGAGTGTCACAGGTCCTGGGTGGTGCCTTGCCCCTAGGAAGAGGAACCAGGCCGTCCTGGAGCTTAGCTCTTTGAGAGGGAAGCCTGTGGCTGATGGCAGGCTGACTGAAACAATCTCTTCTGCCCTTGGGGCTTTCCATTTGGCCTGAAAGAAGGGATTTCCCAGAGGCCCTGGGATTCAACCAACATAGCAGCTGAAGACCCAGTCCCTTTGCCTGGTCTGGGCAGGGAGAAGTTGGGCAAGGGGCAGTGGAAACAGCATGAGCAAGTTAGTGGCTGTGTGACTTCTGTGTCACTTCTCATTCCTAAACTGCATTTGCTTATCTGTAAAATGAAAGCAATAGCTCTACCTTATTACATTGGTGGGCTTCCCTAGTTCCTGCCCAGGACTTAGGAGCCCCAGAACATGTCTGTCTCTCTGTGCCCTCAGAAATCTAAGGCCTGCCTATAACTTCAGTTCTTGGGAGACTGAGGCAAGAGGACTGCAGTGAGTTCAAAGCCAGCCTAGGCAAAATAATGTGTTCAAGGCCAGCCTGAACTAGATAGAAAGACCATGCCTCAGAAAACCAAAAAGAAAAAAAAGAAACCTCAGGTCTGTTTCTGGAAGCTGCTCTACCTGTCATGCTGAGCACCCTGGCTCTCCCTTCCCATCACTTCCCACCAGGGTCTTCCTTAACCCCATGTTCAATCAGATGATGCAAATGAGATGCCATCTGCTCCAGCTCTGTGGCCCCAGACCCAGCACAGGGCCAGCACTCTGGAGGCATGTGCTGGTCCCCACCCTCTTGGCACTGCCTTCCAGGGACAGCTTGATTGGACCAAGACACCCTCTGGGCTCTGGTGGAGAGCTTATGGAGCAGTGGATGAAAGGGTGCCAGGGACAGAGAGGGTGAAACTACAAGTGGACCTGTCAGAACATGCTCCACTACAGGGCGGGGTGCGGGGAAAAGGTGGAGAAACATAACATTTTCTGAGTATCTGCCCTGGGCCAGGCCCTTCTGTGAAGGACATACTGATCTTTCACAGTTCCATGGGTGGGGCCTATAATTTCCACAAAGAAATACAGCCCAGGGTCTTGCTAGTGATGAAAAGGTCAGGCTAGGACACCAGTCCTGCCTGAGGCTCAAACCTGAGTTCTTCCCATTCCTGCTGTGCTCCACAGCAGCTCTGTCTCCACACAGCTCTGTCACTCAGCCAGGAAGAAAGTGATTGTTTAAAAAAGGCAAAATAAGTGTGTGAGATTTCAGAGTCAGTGCGGGGTGGTTAATCTGGTATCTCTGGAAGCTGTGGGGCTCAGGATAGCAGCCAAATCAGGCCTCAGGAGAAGCAGGTCACCACCTGGGTGTCACCACCCAGGCAGGTCTTGGCTCCTCAGGACTCTTGCTTCCATCAGAGATGCTGACATTCTTGGGGAAACTCACGCGGTTGCCACAGTCAGGAGGATCACAGCCTCCTCTGACTACCTGCCTGGAGTTTAGAAAAGTAGGAGCCAGAGGAGGCTGGTGCTGACTGTGAGCTGGTCTCTGGCATGGCCCAGCAGCTCACAGGCCTGAATGGATACAGTGTGGGAGGGGATGGGGCACAGAGCTCCACTCCCAGCTCTGAAGATGAAAAGTAACAGGTAGACCTTAGTCTCAGGGCTGCAGGTCACCAGGTAAGACTGCAAGCTGGGGCCACAGCAGCGACTGTCATCTGTCATTTCAATTCCTGTCTAACTCCATAGTGAGTCCTCTTTTCTTACCAGTACCCCTTCAGGTGAAAAAACTATGGATACTACCGCCTATCACCAGACTGCAGCAGCCTCCTTCCTACCTTGGATTCTGGGTTCTAACCTCTTCCCCCTAAACAGAGTGAGGTTTTCAGAGCATGACTCTGATTACATTTGTCCTCAATTTAAAATCAAAGTCTCAGCTGGGTGTGGTGGCACAGGTCTATAATCCCAGCACTTGGAAGGCTGAGGCAAAAGGACTGCTGTGAGTTTGAGGACTGCCTGGGCTACATAGTGAGTTCAAGGCCAGCCTGAACTACACAGTGAGACTGTGTCTGGAAAACAAAACAAAACAAAACAAAACAAAACAAAACAAAAACAGTCTCTGGGCCAGGGATTTAGCTCAGTGGTGCTTTGCCTGCCTTGCAAGCATAAGGTCCTGAGTTCCATCCCCAGTACCAAAAACAAAAACAAAAAAACATAGTCTCAGCCTGGTCCTCCCCATAATGAGGCCTCCTCCAAGACCTCATTATGTAGCTCTGACTCCTGCTCCCCTGAAATATCCTTCCTCCTTATCAAGTGGTAGGCCAATCCTATATAACCACAACATTCCTCCCTACTTCCCTCCCTCCATTCTCTCTCTCTCCCTCCCCCAGGGTTTGAGATCCAGAACCCAGTTAGATCCTACACATTTAGAAAGTACCTTCCCCAAGAAGCTTCCTTCAGAGCACCAGATCTGAGCTCCCGGCACCACGCTGACCCTGTCACACTGCCCTGTGCTGCCTGTTTTCCTTTCTCCCCACAGACCGTGAACACCTTGGAGGATGGGCTGTATCACATTCATTCTCAGTAGAGTGCTTGGTGCATAGCAGGTACCTAATATCTGTAAAGAAATAAATTAGCCCCCAAGAAATTATGTGACTTGTCTAAAGCCAGCAAGCTAGCACAGATAGGAGTCACTGTGGCATTTGAACTTCTAAAGCTGAGGCCTTCCTGCCTGCCTCACCTGCTGTATTCAGACCAGGCTTTTCTTATCTTTTTCTCTTTTTTTTGGAGACCGAGCTTTTCTTGACACTCTGGTTATAGGGAAGGATAGGCCAGGGACAAGCTATGAAAGACAAGCCTGGGATGCTGGGCACTGGAGGGACAAAGGAATGAACTAAACTGAGAAACTGCCACCAAATGAAGAATGCAAGTGAACATGCACAACTAGCTGACAAGGACAGGGGTCAGCCTGGTCACAGGCACCTAATGCCAGGAGACACTCATCTTCCCCCATCTTAGACCTAGGGTCTTACAGCCAAGGCCACAGACAGGCCACAGGAATGAACCTGAAACAGGCCCCCAGCAGAACATGAATGGGACTATGTACCACCCAGCCACAGATGATCCATATACATGTCCCCAGATGTTTCTTCATTGGCCCCACTCCTCAAAACGACAGCAGGCCAACTGAGAGGCAATTCTAGAATATGGGACTGTGATTTTCTTCATGCTGAAGTGAAAACTGAGTCCTGGGTGGAGCCCAGTGTGCTAGAGGGTTGGTGTCCAGACCCCCAGTGCTCCAGATGTCCCCAGTGGCAGAAGGCAGAACAGCCAAAGCAAGGCCAGCCCACTATCTGCAGGGTCTGCCCTGCAAAAAGGGGCTTGGGGCCAGCCCCTCATGACAGAGGCCACCACTTGTGCAGCAACATCTCCATGAGGTAGGGGAAAGGGAGAGCACGCAAGGGGTCTGCTTTGGACACTGACAGAGAGTATGAGTGGGGCTCTCCGGGCCACCCCCTGGGTAAGAGGGGAAGGGATCTGGTTCTGACCCGCCTTGAGAATCCAGGAGGACACAAGCCCAGCTCTGATGGAAACAGACTGAAACAGGAGGTTAGAGTGCACAGAATTATGTTAGCTCATCGGTCATGAAATGTGATTTCTGATCCCATCTCAAGCCATTCAGGCATTGGTAATTTAGTCACTGAACAGTCTCCTTGATGCTGAGGATATGATAAACATGACCACAAACAAATACACAGCTTCCAAACTGGGTAATTCTGGGTGAGTCCCTCACCCTCCAAGCCTTGGCTTCCTCATTTGCATATGAGATAATGAAAGTCCTTCCCTCTAAGGGCTGTTATGAAGATTAAATGAATTTCTTATAGCAACAGAAAAAGGAAAATAACCTACAGGGCTGTCAGAGGAGAGTAGTTACATGGTGAAGTGTGCTCAGTTCACAGCTTCAGGACTGAAACAAAAAGGAGGTTCCTCTTATATATGAGCAAGGAAAGGTCACCAAGGTGTTTTATTAAAGAAAAAGTTATCCTTCCATCATGATACCAGTAGTAAAACATACTATACACATACATAAATACACACAAGTCAAACTCTACACAAGCACATGAGTACGTATTTGTAAACACACAGGGAAGGGTGCAGAAGGCCACTCAGGCACATGATACAGAAGATTAAAGGGATCACATAAGGCCAGACTGTTGTACACCCTCCTTAAACATAAGCCGCTGTTAATTATAATCTTAAGGGAAGATTTCCTTATGTTCCCTGTTTTTAAATTTATTTAGGCTGATAGGATACTTTACAATATTCTTTTAAAACATGCTTATTTTGTTTATATGTAATCCTTGATCACTATTTTTCTTTTACTGGTCACTGGCCCACAAAATAGAGTTTAAAAAAAGAGGCAGGAAGTTGTCCTTCCCATGATTTAGGAACTGAATGCTGGTCTAGGGGAGTTCACTTTGGGTACTTGAAGGACATTGTTCTTGTATCTCCCAGGTCAACATGTAGTTAATGCCAGTAAGACCCACATTATATCTAATCCACTAAACATCCTGAGAGGTAGGGATTATCACCCTGGATTTTGAGAATGGAAAACTGTAACAGAAATTAAATCACTTGTTGAAGATCATACAGTGAGAAACCGAAGGAGGACCTCAAGCTATCAATCTCAATCCCCTCTTCTCTCACATTCAGGCACACACACACATACACACCCCCATGGATGGTTACTGCTGTCATTTCCTGTTACTGACTCTAAGGCACAACTGTAATTAGCAAAATGATGTATGTCACATGCTGATAATATTTAAATGGTCCCTGGGAAGACGATGGGGCTTTGGCACTGTTGTGCCTGCTGGTGTAACTAATAATCTACACATAATTTATTTTGTAATAGGGTACAGCACTGATCAACTCAAACGGAGCAATTTTTTAACAAAAACCAATAGGCCAAGATGTTCACTATATTCCATACAAAGCTCCTGTTTTTGTAGTTCAGGTTTTGGATCCCTGCTTGAAATCTGGTCATCTGGGTCCCAGAACAGCTGTGATCTACTTTGTTCAGGGAGGGGAGAATGAGGCCAGGGGAATACAAAGCACCTTCCCAGGTAGAAAGGCTTAAAAAAGCAGGTTGTGTGATGAGGACATGACAAAATGCCAAATACCTCAATGGAAGCAATGACTAGGTCATGCAGAAGCAGACTAGGCTTGGCTGTGCGAGACATGCAGGGGCCAGAGATGGCTAGAGACTGAGCTGCTAACTGACCTCAGCCAGAGGGGGTGATTTGGCCCTCAACTTCCCCCTTCCCTTCTCACTCTCCAAATCTGAAAGGCCCAGCGCCTATCCCTCATTCCTCTGGCCTCTCAACTTGACCAGACTACTGACTACTCAACAGAAGAGCTGCTCTTGCTCCTGTGGATTCCTCCAGCAGCTACTCTGCCTATCTGCTCAGGAACCACATGATATTCTCCTGGGCTCTCTTCAGTTCATTCATTCACTGAACAAATTCCTGGTAAGCAACTGCTCTGTGCCAAACACTGATCTGGTACTTGGGGGAATAAGAGATTGCTGCCTTCATAAAGCACATAGGCTGGTGGAGGAATCAGAGAGGAGAGCAAGTTATAGACTGGGTAAGTGCTATGAAAGGAACAAGTAGGAGGCTAAGAGGTAACAGCAGATTTCAGAAAGGGCCTTTCTGAGAGAATACTGAACTCTTTTAACAAAATTCTAAATGTCACAGATTTGCACACTGTGGTTCCAAGAGGCCAAAGGGCATGGATAGCCAGGGGTGGTGGCCCATGTCTGTAATCACAGCACTTGGGAGGCTGAAGCAGGAGGATCACCATGAGTTTGAGGCCAGCTTGGACTACATAGTGAGACCTTGTCTCAAAAAAAAAAAAAAAGGGAGGAGGAACAGATAGTATAACCCTGATAATGAGGCTCCACTACCTCAGCCAACACTCAAGGACAATGACATAATCTGAGTGACTGCCTGGTGAGCAAAGGCCCCCACCTGACACATCCCATTAGCCACCTGGCAGCAGCAGCAACAAAGCCCCAGGCCAGTAGCCCCTGGAAGCATGTGACCCAAAAGAGCGGTCTATGGCTCAGAGCCACAAGGCCCAGACCCAAGGATGCCAATGACACACATCTGCTGGATGTCTGACAATCTGCCATTTAAGGAGTACCTGGGTGGGTGGGGTGGCACACACCTGTAATCCCAGGTATTCAGGAGGATGAGGCAGGTAGATCATGAGTTCAAGGGCTGTCTGGGCTACAAAGCAAGACCCTGTCTCAAAAAAACAAAAAAACAACAAACAAACAACAACAACAAAAAAGAGCACCTGGAGCCCTGCAGCCTGATACAGCTTGTTAGTGATATCCTCCAGGGATAGAAAACGCATATGCCCTCTCCCCCAGCAAATACCACCACCTAGAATCTATCCTCAAAAATACTGGCATGGGGGTACAAGAATATGTGTAGGCTTTTCCATTTCAAGTAGCAAAATAACTAGAAGCAACCTCAATGTCTATCATCATGGGTTTACCTGGTCAAATAGATCATGGCACGTCTAAACTATGGGATATGACAGCCATTAAGGGAATGATCTTAAGATGAGAACACTTAGGGGAAAACATCAAATTGAAAACCAGTTCGAGTGGGATGCCATTTACTTATATAAACCAGAAAGCTCTAAAGGGTACATATGTCCTGACAGCTATCTGTAAATGCACGATGTCTGCAAAGACTAAACTAAGACCAAACTAACCTGATGACCATATGTGCTCTGGGTGGGTTGCCATGGGGGTCAGGTGGTTCGTTTTTTCTTTTTCACGTTTTTTTTTTAGTGCTAGGGATTGAACCCAGGGCCTTAAGCATGCTGGGCAAACTTTCTACCACTGAACTCCACACCTGGCCTTGATCTTTAGTTTTCTTTTCATTGTATATTTTTAAATTCTGTTTGGATTCTTTCCCTGCAATGATAAATTCATGTATTATGTGATTAAAAATGCATTTAAGATATTTTTAAATAAGATAGTATGCCAACAACTAACTTTTCTCTGTAGCTCAGCAACAAAGGCACTGGATCCTCTTGCCTTGGGTTTCTAGCCCAACTCCAATCCCTCTTTTCCAGCAATTCAGTCCCTCTCCTGCCTTCAAGGGCACCTGATCACTTGCCAGTATACCCCTTGCCATTCATGCAGACCCTTTTCTCACAGAGGCAGTCACAGGGGAGAATGCTGTTATCTGGCAAGTCCCACAGACAGTTCATAATCATTGCAACTATATTTCCTGACAAAAACTAAGACTCAGGATGAAAGCAGGCTGAGGACAATTTCTATGGAGCTCACTAACCTCCCAGAGGCTCAGGCAGGCCCAATATCCTTACATGCCACCCACTGGTATGCAGGGAAAAGTAAGGAAATTCCAGCAAGAAAGAAGAACCAAGGTGGACTTTTGGCTTTCTTCAGATAGAAAGTTGAATCTTACAGACTTCTGCCTGCAGGAGACACAGGCAGGAAGTGCTGCCCAAGGTACTGGCCTCCATCTCTCTTCCTGCTGTTCATAATCCAGCACGAACACTGATCCTGCAGAAATGTCTATGCAGGAAACACCAATCCCATCACTCACTGAAAAAGCACAAACTCCCTTGTTTGCTCACAGGAGCTAATCTTGGAGGCAAAAATTCCCTGGGGACTATCCTCTGACGTCACTCATCTTTCCAGTAACCTTGCTTCTATCCCATCCACTGTGCACAGAAAATGCTTGGCTATGCCAACGGCACTGAAACAGGAAACAGTACAAATGATTCTCCTAAGACTTCAACATTGAGGACAGAGTCTGACCTGAAAGAAGGCAGCCCAGTACACCGGGGAATTTTAGGAAGGGTGGGCAACTCTGCAGGAGGTTTGCTAGGCCCTGTGTTACCAAAACTCAGGAACAGTGACCCAGGAATCTGCCTCGGTTTTGTTTTGTTTTGTTTTGTTTTTGAGACAGGGTCTTGCTGCATAGTTCAGCCTGGCCTTGAACTCAAGGCGATCCTTCTGCCTCAGCCAACCAAGTGCTGGGAGTGTGCCACCATGCCTAACCTGTCTTTTCTTTCAAAAAACAATCAGTGGGCTGGGGATTTAGCTCAGTGGTTCCGCCACCTGCCTGGAAAGCGCAAAGTCCCGAGTTCAATCCCCAGTACGAAAAAAAAACCCAAAACAATCAGTGATATGTAACTGTGACAGTTACCACAGGAAATCTGTATTTTTAACAAGTTCCCACTGAGGATTCTGATGTTTGAGATGTTGTTCTTGGAACTGAGGGACAGACTCTTCCCATCAGAAAGGGCCAAGCTCCTTACTGGCACTCTACAGGCTGTGACTGCAGCGTTCTCCCCATTACACCCAGCCACATGCTTTACACTTGACTTGCCCAACAGCTAGACCATTTCATTCCTCAGCTCTCCGCCTTGCTCCAGCTGTTCTGAGTCCGAGTGCCTTTCTTCCCCTGTGCCACTACCCCACCCTACTTGGTGTACACATTATAGGAGCCACATCTAGTGTCAGGAAGTCAGGCCTTTTTTGAATTTGGTTTTGGCTCTTCTGTTGACATTGGGCAAGAGACATCCTCCAGGAGTCTCAGTCATTTGTAAACCAGGGATGTCAGTATCTGTCTCTAGACTTGCTGGGAGGATTCAGAGAGGTGACTAGCTCAGCGTGGTTCCCATTAAGTCTTTGCCAGATCCAGCATTACATTGCTCTTGCTGCCCTATCCCCTCTACCTCACTGTGAGGCACCTGAGGGAGGAACTGTAACTCGGTGTCCAAATCCCCAGGATGTGGAACCCAAAGCCCTTGTTGAATGCATGAGACTACAAAATGAATTCCTGACCCCACAATGCTCTTGGATCTTACCTGCCCAACATTGAAGGTCAGTGTGATGGCATAAAAGAAGTTAGAGTTGGCACTTCCTGCATAAATCCAGAGGTGCCACAGGACAGGGAAGAGCAAGGAGCAGACGATAATGATGCAGGCAAGGACGAAGATGTTCCGCAGGACTGCAAAGACATATGGTCACAATTAGGCCTGTGCTCACTCTCCAGCACCCTTCCCGTGCTGCGATGGCTCCACAGGATGGAGAGGCAGAACCCCGGCAAAGGCACTGGGACAAGGCACTGGGACACCAAGAGGCAGAACTCAGATTCCCTATGCACATAGCTGGTGGAAGCTTCTAGGTTTAGTCTTTTTGGCTTGGCTGGTCAAAGGCTAGACATTGTTGGTGATGCCACACATACCTCTGGATTTGGCACACAGACCATTTCAGGAAGACATCCAACCCCAGAATGTCCAAGAGTAACTCCTCCCCTCTCCCCACGAAGGTGCTATGTGGCCACATGGAATCACAGGTGGGAACTGCAGCAGGAACCAGAGAGAGTGGAGCCCCATAGTGGGTCTTCATAGTCCCACAGTCCTGGTGTCTTAGAAATATGTCTTTCATTCTTAATTGGTACTCCCAGGTCCCTTCCTTGATCTTCAAATATAACTCACTCTTCCTTAGATGATAATTAACAAATCTGTTTGTGACACTCCCTCTCAGGTATCACTCCATGCCGAGTCCCTCCATGCAAGACCTGCTACAGCAGGGTGGTCCTCAGAAAGGCAGGTAGGGTCTCGCTAGATAGGAAGACTTGGCCTTTGGAGAGGCCTAGGTTAAAATCCTTCTTTGTCACTCATTAGCAAGTTCTTCTAAGCCTCAGTTTCTTCATCTCTAAAATGAAGCTAAAATACCTACTTTATAGGAGTGTTGTGAATTAAATAAGATTTGTGAAAAACTGGCATAGATGCAAGACTATGTACTAACTTTCTATTACTCTTATAACAAATTCCCATAAATGGAGTGGTTTAAACAATATAATTTTGGGCCGGGGATTTAGCTCAGTGGTTCCGGCGCCTGCCTCGCAAGCGCAAGGTCCTGAGTTCGATCCCCAGTACCACCAAAACAAAACAAAAAACAATATAATTTATTATTACACAGTTCTAAGGGTCAGAAGTCCAGAATGGGTCTCACAGGCTGCAGTCAGTCTGGGCAGAGCTGCAATCCCTCTGGAGACTGGAGAAGAACACATTTGCTTGACTTTTCCAGTATCTAGGGGCTGCAAGTATTCCTTGGATCTGATACTTCCAGCTTCAAAATCAGGAATGGATGATTGAGGCCTTTTCCTGGTGCATCCCCTCTGACCTTTTCTGCTATTTCTTCTTTTTTTTTTTAAAATAAACTTTATTTTTTAAGACCAGTTCTAGGTTCACAGCAAAAATGAATAGAAGGTAGAGACATTAAGCTACCTCTTCTACTTTTAGTAATTCTTGTCATTATACTGGGCCCACCTGGATAATATAGGATAATCCACCTTCTTAAAGTCCTTAATTTAAAGTCCCTTTTGCTATGTAAGGTGACATATTCACAGGTTCTGAAAATTATGATGTGATCATCTTTGCAGAGGATAGTGAGAAGGGAGACTATTCTGACCATTACACAACTCTCATTTTTTTCATTTAATTCAATAGGGGTTATCAGTAGGATTGTATGTTATTATTATTTCTATTCATACTCTATATTGTTTTAAACTACTAAATATTATTTAAAATAAATTAATAGGGCTGAGGATTTAGCTCAGTGGTTTCGTCGCCTGGTGCGCAAGTGCAAGGACCCAAGTTCGATCCCCAGTACCAAAAAAAAAAACCAAATAAAATAAATTAATTAAAAGAATACCTTTGTAAAAAGAATTGTCTCCTCTCTGATCCTGACCTTCTCCAAACCAGAGTTTTGGGAAATTCAAGAGATGGGGAAACTCCCAAACATTCAGGCAGTTTGTCCCTGTTGCGCAATGATTGGGTAGAAGAAATTGGAAGGGGACTGGATGACACAAATGATTCGAAATTGTAGCTGCAGAATGAAACTCTGGCAGGGAGAGGAACCCCCACCAAGATGGAGTCAGGGGGCCAGGCATCCACAGGCTTCACACACTTCCTGGGTGATTCCAACATGCAGCCTGACACCTTGACAGTCTGCCAGAGTTGCCACTGTCTATGAAGTAGGAATAGTCAAGACAAAGCAATTCACAGTCTGAGCTACACCTCACCACAGAAATGGCAGGTGGTTTTTTTTGTTGTTGTTAAAAAGTCCTTTCTTTTGTCTGTGAAATCTCAATTCAGATAATAGCCTAGAGGGCCTGCTGGGTCTTTTTGTTTTGGGGGGTTTTTTTGGTACCAGTGATCGAACTCAGGACCTTGTGCTTGCAACTGAGCTAAATCCCGGCCCCCTGCAGGGTCTTTTTATGATAAGAAATTTCTGTGACTTTGGGTTGTCAAAGCTGAGAGGCCAAATTCCTGACTCAGGTCTCAGAGACTTCCCAGAGAAGCTTCTACCTCTTTTACTCCAGAATTTAGGAGCCCAAGAAAATGGATGTTTGTGCTGAGTTGTTGCTTTTGCTATTAAACAATGTTATAACCTCAAGAAAGCAGAATAAATCTGCTCACCATGCCTCTAATCCAATAACACTATCTCTAATTCTCAGTGGTTCTTCTTCATCCTCTGGAAATTATTTTGCTGAAAAGAATATACACTATTTCTAAAATAAAACTATTGGGCCGGGCATGGTGGTGCATGCCTGTAATCCCAGCACTCAGGAGGCTGAAGCAGGAGGATCACTGCAAGTTCGAGGCCAGCCAGGGCTACATAGTGAGTTCAGGGCCAGCCTGAACTACAAAGGGAGACCCTGCCTCAAAAAACCAAGAAAACCCCAAATACATAAATAAAATAAAATAAAACTATCGGTTTTTGGTCCTCTGCCTCTACCAGGGACAGAAACTTTTGACAGAGTGACAGAGAAGTGCAGAGAAGAGGGAGGGTCACATGCAGCCTTCCATCTAGAAGTGACATTTGACATTCCCATGTGCTGGGAGGACCAGCATCCAATTGGCTTCTGGCCTGTAGTGACCTCTGCAGGAACAGGGAGCTGCCACTCACTCTTGCTGGTGACAGGCCAGAAGATTAAAGCTACACTCCAGAGCACATGGAACTGGGGACTGGGGCATAGGAGAGCTTGTTCCAGACAACAGGAAGTGTCAGAGGTGAGCAGGGCCTGAGAAAACGAAGGGCTCACCCTTCATCAGACCTGCTAGGCCAGGAGTCAGGTTCCCCCTGCATTCATGAGATGGCTTATCCAATCCCAGGCACCACCACGGATGAACGGAAACTTCTGGTGAGTCACCTTCCCTCTCAGAGTCTCAGGCACTCAGAAATAAAGATTCACTTGAAAAATTCAGTCCTATCAGGAGGAGGCTTCAAAGGTCAAGGTGATGTCTCCTTTCTTAAACTACAGGCTAGGTACATGGGAATTTACTACGAAATTATTCTTCATGTTCCTTCCTTCCTCCTCTTCCTTCCTTCCTTCCTTCCTTCTTTCCTTCCTTCTTTCCTTCCTTCTTTTCTTTCCAGTACTTGGGACTGAACTTAGGGCCTCATTCATGCTTGGCAAATGCTCTACCACTGAGCTACACCCCCGTCCTTTTATATTTTATTTTTCTGAGATAGAGTTGTATTAAATTGCTCCGGCTAGCCACAAATTTGAGATCCTTCTGCCTCAGCCTACCAAGTAGCTGGGATTACAGGTGTGTGCCATCTTTCTTAGCTTATTTTATTAATATTCTTTTATCTCTGTACAATAGTTAATAAAATAAAATAAAACAACACAACACAACACACATACACTCTACTCCAGCCCTTTGGTAGCTGGTTCTTTAGCTGGACCACTGCAGACTGGCACTAGTTCTACTAGCAGGTTGCTCTCTAACACAGTAAGTACACATCTGCCTGGCTCATCCTGGCCCCAGGCTCCACAGAAGCCAGCATCCAGGGCCCACATTCAGGGCAGAGCCTGTTCCTCTTTTCCTCCTACTGTCCAGTTCAGGAAAACTGAAAGGTGAAGTGGAAATAGGCACATTAGCACTAGCAACCAGTATTTGAACTGGATTCTTGACAACATTAATATACTCAACCAGGCCTAAAGACTGCCCAGATTCTCTACTTGAAGATCTCAAGGTTCAAGGCTGAAGATGATCACAGCTGGTATAATGAATGACTCAGAGTTCTTAAGTCCCAAACATGAGTACTCCTTTCCACAGGTGCAGTGCAGGGTGGCAGCCTCTCTTCTGAGTAGCAGCTGAGCCTATAAATTTCCTGCCCAACCAGCCAGCAACAGCATCTATTACATCATCCAGGTTTCTGGAAACCTCATCCTTCTTCTTTGTGCCTCACTGCCTCAAAGGGCATAAAATAGTTTATTTCAAATTTTGAAAAATATATTTCAATGACTCTGGCACCAAGCCTGAAGCTTTGATGATGGAAATATGGGCCCCTTCATAATTATTACTGATGATGATAACTGTAGTGCTATTAACACATTTTCATTCTCAAACTTAAACTCCCTTGAAAGACAGTCTCCTTGTTTGATTTTTGTTTTGGTTTTTGAGACAGAGTCTCACTCTAATTGAGGCTGGCCTTGAACTCATGGTGATCCTCCTGCCTCAGCCTCCTGAGTGCTGGGATTGTAGGTGTGCACCACCATGCTCAGCAGTTTCCTTATTTGACAGACCCATAAATCAGAGGCTCAGAAAGTTCAATCCCGAAATGTGGTGACACAGTTATTCAGGAGAATGAGGTAGGAAGATCACAAATTTAATGCTTGGCTGGGCAACTCAGTGAGATTCTGCCTCAAAATAAAATTTTTCAAATAGGGAGGCTGAACTGGGTATGGTAGTGCACAACTGTAATCCCAGGACTTGGGAGGCTGAGGGAGGAGGATCACCAAGAGTTAAAGGCCAGCCTGGGCTACACAGTTAGTTCAAGGCCAGCCTGGACTATAGCTTGAC